TGCTTCTCAATGTCCAAATAGGAGAACAATGGTGTTGAAAGATAATGAGGAAATTGAGTCCGAGAAAGAATCTAGAAAAGAGTCCAATTCTAAAAATGCGAGTGAAGATGAGGAGTATCCAGTTGAGTATGAGTCTTTAGTTTTCATGCATACTTTGAGCATGCAAGTAAAAGAAGAGGATAAAGCTCAAAGAGAAAATATTTTTCATACTATTGTCATGTCAAGGATAAAGTTTATGGTCCGATAATAGATAGGGGTAGTTGTGCTAATGTTGCTAGTACTTTCATGATTGAAAAACTTAATTTATCTATAGTTAAACACCCTAAGTCATATAAGTTGCAATGGTCAAATGAGTGTGGGGAAATTAAGGTCAATAAATCGATATTAGTGTCCTTTCAATTGATAGGTACAAAGATAAGGTCTTGCATGATGTTGTATTGATACAAGCGAAGCCATATTTTGTTAGGTCAACCTTGGCAGTTTGATAGAAAAGAAAAACATGATGGGTTTAGAAATCGGTATTGTTTTATAATGGGGGATCAAAATGTAACACTTATTCTTTTGTCACCTCGGCAAGTATATGAGAATCAAATAAGTTTGAAAAGAGAGTGAAAAATAGAGAAGTGAGGCCAAGAGTAAGAAGAGAGAAGAGGGAAAGGAAAAAGTGTATGAAAAAGAAAAAAGAAACCAAAAGAAAAAGAAAGAGAAAAAAACGAGTTTCTTTGCCATAGAGAGTGATATTAAGAGAGCCTACTTTTCTTCACAATCGATGATTGTTCTTTTATATTAGGAGCCTTATTTTAATACTAACTAGCTTGACTCTTCATTGTCTAATGTTGTTATGTCTTAATGTAGGAGTTTGATGACTTATTTCTTGAGGAACTAAGTGGTTTACTCGCCATTTAAAGGGATTGAACATCAAATCAATTTCATTCTTAGGGCACCAATTCCAAATAGACCAAGTATACTGAAGCAATCTAGAAGAAACTAAAGAGTTATAATGACAAATTGAGGAGTTGATAATGAAAGGGTTTGTAAGAGAGAGCATGAGTTCGTGTGTCTGTTCCAAGTATTGCTCATACTAAAGAAAGATAAAACATAAAGAATGTGCATTGATTCTCAAATAATTAACAAAATCACTATAAAGTATTACCATCTTATCCCAAGATTAGATGACATGTTGGATGAATTACATGGATCTTTTGTGTTTCCAAAAATTGATTTAAAAAGTGGTTATCATCAAATTAGGATGAAAGAAGGTGATGAATGGAAAACTTCTTTCAAAACTAAACATGATTTGTATGAATGGTTAATGATGCCATTTTGTCTTACGAATGCACCAAGTACTTATATGAATTTGATGAATCATGTGTTGCGAGCATTTATTGGAAAAGTTGTTTTGTATTTTGATGACATTTTGATATACGAGTAAAAACTTAGACGAACATCTTGAGCATTTAGATTTTATTCTAAGTATTTTACATGCTGAAAAATTGTATGTGAATCTAAAAAAATGTACTTGTAAAATAATCTTTCTAGGTTATGTTATGAGTTCAAAAGGTATAATGGTTGATGATGAAAAATTTGAAGCAATTAGAGAGTGGCCGACACCTAAGTCGGTTAGTGATGTGCATAGTTTTCATGGACTAGTTAGTTTCTATAAACGTTTTGTTAAAGATTTTAGCTTAACTGCTAGACCTCGAGCTGAAGTGATTAAAAAGAATGTGGGTTTTAAATGGGAAAGTGAGCAAGAGAATGCATTTAATTTGATTAAAGAAAAACTCAATTTTACATCCTTACTTGCATCACTAGATTTTGCTAAAAAATTTTAAATTGAATGTGATGCTTCTAATATTGGTATATGAAGTCGTTTTGATCCAAGAAAGGCAATAAATTTCTTACTTTAGTGAAAAGTTAGGTGGGGCGACCCTAAACTACAATACTTATGACAAAGAGACATACGGGTTGGTGAGCACCGGAGACATGGCAACATTACCTGTGGTCAAAAGAGTTTGTTATCCACATGGATCAAAAGTCATTAAAGCACCAAAGGGCCAAGGTAAGTTTAATAAAAGACATGTAAAGTGGGTGGAATTCATTGATACATTTCCATATGTCATCAAATACAAACAAGGTAGAGAGAATGTTGTTAGCGATGCATTATCAAGAAGGTATGTTTTAATTTCTACACTTAGTGCAAAATTTTTATGGTTTGAGCATGTTAAAGAACTCGTATAAATATGATCCTAATTTTGCTAATGCATGTGATGTTAAGAAAAGACTGCATTTAATAAATTCTTTAGGCATGATAGATTTTAGTTTAAAGAAAATAAATTGTATGTGCCTATGAGTTCCATGCATGAGTTAATTGTACAAGAGCACGCAGGGGTGGTTTAATGGGTCATTTTGGTGTTAGGAAAATCTTGATATTGTGGTTGTACATTTCTTCTAGCCACACATAAAAAGAGATGTTGTGAGAGTTTGAGAGAGGTGTTTTGTGTGTAAACGAGTCTAGGTAAAAAATGATGCCACATGGTTTGTATACACCACTACCAATTCCAAACCATCCTTGGCTTGACATTTTGATTGATTTTATTTTAGGATTGCCTAAAACAAAGAGAGGTAGAGATTTGATTTTTGTGGTGGTAGATAGATTTTAAAAAATGGCATGTTTTATTCCATGTCATAAGATTGATGATTCTAGAAATGTAGCCGATTTATTCTTTCATGAAATTGTGCGTTTACATGGAATGCCAAAAACCATTGTTTCGACCGTGATGTTAAGTTCTTTGGTTACATTTGAAAAACTTTGCTTGGAAAATTAGGAAATAAATTATTATTTTTCACAACTTGTTCATCCATAAATTGACGGCTAGATTGAGGTAGTAAATAGGACTTTGTCTACTTTATTGTGTGCAATCATTTTTAAAAATTTGAAAACTTAGGAAAATTGTTTGCTTGCATATTGAATTTTCTTATAATTAAGCGATGCATTCTACTACTAGTCATTCTTCTTTTGAAATTATCTATGGTTTTAATCCGTTGACTCTATTAGATTTATTGTCGATACTTGTTGAGAATGTAAGTATGGATAGAAAACAAAAGGCTAATTTTGTTGAAAAGAAGCATGAAAAGGTTCGAATACAAACTGAATAACAAAATAAAAAGTATGCATCTTATGTTAACAAAAGGCGAAAGAAAATTATTTTTGAACCATGAGATTTGGTTTGAGTGCACTTGCGAAAGAAAAGATTTCCAATCCAAAGAAAGTCTAAATTCAACCAAGGGGTGATGGTCCTTTTCAAATAGTAGCACGTGTCAATGATAACGCCTACAAATTAGAGTTACCAAGTGGGTATAATGTTAGTAATACTTTCAATGTTTCTTATTTTTCTCGTTTTAATGTAGCTGACAATTTGAAGACGAATTCTTTTGAGAAGAAGGGGACCGATGAGAATCTAGTTGGCTTCCAAGAGGATTGCAGGCTTGAAGACTATCAATTGGGTTTGGACTTGGTGAATTTTGTCCAAGCTATTGGCCTGGTAACAAATACCAAAATTGAAGACTAATTTCCTTTGGGTCGTGGGAAGTTGCTGCTGCTTGGGCCAACTCTCCATTGAGTTGCTTCTTCTATCTGTGACTTTGTTTCATATTTTGAAGACCATATAACCAAATAAAATATTGGTTCAAAAAAAAAAAACAACACACACACACATTAAAAATAGGCTTATTATGATAAATTTTTTTTTTACAGAAACACAACGCTCTACTTCCTAAATTAACTAACCACTAGCAAAATCACTAAAATTATAAATGAAGGAACCTGAGGAAGAAACTGTTTAGAGCTCTAAAAAAGTAGGATCCTCTCTAAGTAAAACCTAGCACGTGCATCGACAGCAAGAACTATGGTGGCTAGGCCACCGTCGATGGCTGGATCTCTGGCAACCGCAGCAAAGACAACCCGTATACAGATTTTGTCCATGAATCAGAATCGTTCTAATTATAGGGTTGTTGCTGCTAGTGTACTTTGACTAAAAAATCAGAACAAACCCTACCCTAAACCAACCTACATATTTCCCAACTTACGTACGTCTATTGCGACAGCTCCCCTAAATCAGTAGCAAAGTCTAACAAAACCTAACTATGGCATTGTCTTATGTGATATACTAATAAAACAAAATCCCAAACCTGTTTTGCAAGGCATATGATCCCGTCTAAGGCATTAACGTCCATCAATGAGTAGCCTACAGCGCTATTTTCAATTTTGGAATTGGAAAAAGCTGAAAAACAGTTTGTGAACTCGTTGATTATGAAGTTTTTAGCTGGTAGGTCGTCTCTATATGAAATAAAAAATCATATCAAGTAGAATTAACAGTTGAATGGAGATGCTGTTGTGGGTTTATTAGATCCGCATCATGTCATGGTACATCTTTCTACAATCAAAGCATTATCACAGGAAGATCACAAAGTTGTCAATTCTATGTACCGTGTTTTCCAGTGGACACCAAATTTTAGGTTTCAAAGGGACAGTTCCACCATTGCCGTCTGCGTAAGACTTCATCATCTCTTTTTAGCACTGTTTACACTATCATACTGGAAGCGTGTTGGGGAAGGCATAGACATTTTTCTAAGGGCAGATGATAGAACTAGTTCATTAACACATCCCTTGTATACGAGGGTATGTTTGGAAGTAGATGTGTCAAAACAGTTACCTTCGAGAATATGGATAGGTAGCTGGAAAGAAGTTTCTAGCAATGCATAGAATATGAAGGTAATATGGATTATTATCATGATTGTGGGCTTATTAGGCATACCATTTATTACTATCGAAATCACAATAAGCCAGCCCCTAATAATGTTATGAAGCAACAGCAGAAAGATCATTTGTCTGAGGCAATTGCTCCGGGTAAGTGAACAGTAACTGGAAATTTCACTCAACACAAAGGAAAAGAACATCGGCAGTTAGTGTAAAAAAAAGTAGCAAATGATCTTTTGCTGCCATGGAACATGACAGGGGGAAGGCTAGCAAGGGGTTTAAAGCTAGCAAACCGTCGAATAGTAATTCAGGTAATACGGCAGCTTTGAATACTATAAATCACAGGGTGTTGAATATTGTTGCCAGTCATGAAGGAAATTTGGCTATAGATGGTAAAAAGGCCAGTATTTCAAACATAGAGAAAATTTACTTAACAAAGTAACTGGTCATGAGGATGGCAACCCGAGGAACTTAGTTATTGGTTTCATGCCATTGACATTAGACATAGACAATAACATAGATCGATAATTACTGAAGTTAGGAAAATCAAGTGTTAATGTGGTCGTTATAGAAGAACAAGAAGGACAGGAGGAAGTAGTCACTGATGCTAATTGTAACACTTTTGCCATCTTAGCCAATTTGGAAGAAGAAGCAGAAGCAGACGGCAACGTGTTGTATGCATATGCTTGGAAGGGGGTCAACTTTGGATAATGAAAGGTGTCAATCTAGCAGCAACACACAAAAATAGAATGAAATAAGATAATTTTTAGACATGCTTCTTGAGAAGGAGACAGATATGGAAGCAGTTAAGAAGGTGCACAAGCAATTTGATATAAACTAGCAAAAAGAAGTCATTTACAGAATATGGATTTTAGAATGAAAACAAGATCAGTAACGTGTGCACAAGGTACCTTTATATCAAAAAATTAATCACGTTCGTTATACTATGGAATGCTAGAGGAGTGAATAATCAAGATACTTGTAATTATTTAAAAGCTTTAAAAAGGCAGCATAAACCTATGATGGTTGTGATTTTGGAGCTGAGGGCGCTAGGAGAGAAAATTAAAGGTGTTGCTAAAAGTTTGAATTTTAGAGAATTCAAGCATTTTAACCACTTAATCGGCATATATGGATCATGTGGAATAACACTTTAGATATTCAGTGTATGGACATTTACAAATAAGATGATAACGATGACAATTAGTTGCTTTGATTGGTCGACTGTACAGTTTCTTTTTTTTGGTTGGTATGCTAAGTATATTAGGTTGGACAGACAAGAGTTATGGGCAGATTTAGAAAGGTTATCTATGCTGACTCACCACTCTTGGTGTATCGACAAAGGTTTTAATGTTATCTCAGACATAGCAAATAAGGTAGAAGGGAATGGATATGATCTTAGAGATATGTCAGATTTTAATGATTGTTGCCATAATATTAGGTAATAAATGTATGCTATACAAGCAATAAGTTCACATGATATAATAATCAGAATAGGACTTCGCGTTTATGGGAGGGGCTGGATAGGGTGTTTGTTAATGGCCTTTTTTGGCAAAATATGCTGAATCTCACAGTGGAACATCTTGCTAGATTGCATTCTGATCATTCTCCTCTTTTACTAAAATTTAATAGAAGGTTTATGGGGAAAGTTGTGTTCACATATCAAAAATTTTGGAAGGAACACTAGAATATGAAGATTTCGTTAAAAATGTTTGGGTAGAAAACTTCATGGGACCACCTAAGATGATTTTACAAAAAAAAAAATAAATAAACTTAATCAGTTAGGTAAACGTTTGAAGAGTTGGAATTGGGAGGTTTTTGGAAACATCCATCACCATATGGAGTAGTTGCAAGACAAAATTTTGACATTAGATAACAAGCTGAGTCAAGGGTGGAGTGACCAAACAAACAAACAGTTGCTTTTAGCTAGGACAACCTTGGCTCACGTCACTCGGTTAGTGGCTGATATGCTACAACAACAAGCTAGGGCCACATGGGTTCGTGATGGAGAAGATAATATTGCCTCCTTTCATGTGTGCATTAAAGAAAATCTCAAGTACCAATACTTTCGAATGAGACAAGTAGAAGGCATAATGTCGGATGATGTGAGTGTTATTAGTAATTCAATAGTTGAGTTCTTTAGGGAGTTGTTTACCTCCGGTAATATCAACATGCATGACTCTTTGTTTAAGTTAGTGGAACCAGTCATTTCGGACAACTATAACCAAGAACTAACGGGGGTTCCTTCTGAGAGTGAGATTTGGGCGATAATAGACGATCTAAATTTGGATAGTACTCTTGGTTGGGATGGTTTCACTGGCCATTTTTACAGAGATAATTGGGGGATCATTAAGCAGGAGGTTATTCATGCAGTCCATAACGTTTCCAAAAGTGACCATGCACTGAAAGGTATGTCGAAAGCTTCTCAAATTTTATTGCTAAAAGTGTAATGCCTTTCTGTTAGAACTGAAATTTAATAAATTTAAAAGTATTAAAATCATATGAAAAATATCTTGTGAATATAAGATTATATTAAAAGGGTGTTAGCATATTAAAATAATTAAATAGTCTTTCATGCCTAGTGAATATTTTATGATTTTTCTTGTTGCATGAATACTGATTTTTATGTAAAATAATTAATTCAAGTATGTCAAATGTGCATGAAAAATTTTTTGTTTGCCTAAAATATTTGCTAAAGGGGTGTTAAATTATTCTATGTTGTTGGATGAATTCGCCGATATTCCGTGAATATTTTATTTATATTTTATTGTGTATGAATAGTATTTTTAGGGTAATTAATTAATTTAAGTGCTTTGAAGATATAATAAAATTTTCACAAGGGTATAGAAAAGTCATTTAGAACGTGTAGGGATATTTGATAAGTTTAGATGATTTTTTCTACACATAAAGAATATTTTCTATAGGAAATAGTATAATTTTTACTTTAAATAATTAATTTGAAGGCCTAAATAAAGGTATAAAAATTATGGGAATGATGATTAAATTCTTTTTGGAAGTGTTTGAATTTATTATGAAAAGAAATTTAATTTTGGAAAATTTTGGAATAAAATTTTAGAGCTAGGGACCTAATTGCATAAAATTAAAAATTTGAACTTTCAAATTAAAATAGCTATGAACTTTAGCAATTAAAAAGTTGTTAAGATATCTTTAAAGGAGAGGCCTAAAGTAATCAATTGAAAAATTGAGTGATGTATGGACAAGTAATTAAAGAAAAGATTTGTAAATTAAGGGACCAAAATTAAGCAAAATTTTGGAGCAATTTCTACCCCTTGTAATCGACTTTGAGCAACATGATTAGGGTTAATTAATCAGCTTTGACTAAGGTAAAAAGCAGAGGCCACAATTAAGCAAGATGGAAGGATAAAATAAAAAGAAAAGTTAATGGCCTAGATTTATCCAATTGAAGGGCTAGGATTTAAAGATGATTTAAGAGCTAGGATCACACCAAATTGCAGCAAACCAAGGGTAGAGATGAGGTGAATGGTTCACCAAAAATTTGCCCATAAATATGGGTGCAAGAAAATAAAGAAAATGCAAGAAAAATTACAAAATACAAAGGAAACTCTTGCAAATTCTCTTTAGGAATTTCCACCAAAAACATACCACATTACATCCAAACACTCTAAATCAACTAACTAAGCAAGGAAACCAAGCTAGAAGATCAAAATCTATTAAGAGGAAAAATTAGGGTTTAGGCCGAAATTAGTGGAGAAGAAGGAGGAAGGAATTCTTCAAATAATCCAACCTTTCAAGGCCAATTTAGAGCTTAATTGAATAAGTTAACTTCACCTACAATACAAGAAGTGTTTAATTCATGTTAATTGATGTGTTGGATGCCTTAATTTGTGATTTTTAGCCTTAATTTTGAAAAAATTAAGGTTAGGGTTCTTGATGAGGAAAACTTAAAAAAATAAAATAAAATTAAGATTGAAATCGTTAATTAAGCTTGGAATTGATGTTAAGAAATAAAAAACTTCTAGTGTTAGGAAGTATCAAACTTTTGGCCCAATATAGCAAATTAGGGGTTCTTGATCCTTTGAATTAATTGATGTTTTAAGGCTTGATTATGGGTTAGTTAGGTATGAATTAATATTTGAGAATGAAAAATTGCATCACATTTGAAGGAAATTCAATGATTTTCCCAAGGTAGCATTCGGCCTAAAATTTCAAATTTTTACGGTTTTGAATCTTTCACTTAATTCATGAATTATTGGTTAATTAATAGTTGAATAAGCATGTTTTGATGAGTGAAAGTGAAAAATTCTAAGAAAATTGAAACATTCTACCTAATTTAGCTTAGGCCCAATTTTGGCCCATTAAGGCCCACTTAGGTTATATATGCATTGGACCTATAAATATTAAATGAATTAATCCTAGATGCTAATGTGTAATTGAATGACTTAGTATTGAAAATTGGTGATGAATTGAGAAGAAAATAATGAGGTTAATGCTAAAGTAACATTCGGCCCAAATGGAGAATAAATTAGGGTTTAGGTTTAATTGATTTCTAATACTTCAATTAATCAATTTAGACTTAGGATAATATAATGAGATGAATTAAAATGAGATATTACATTAAAATTGAAAAATTAGCTTAAATTCACTTCACTAAGGTTTAGGCCTAATGTGAAGTTTATACATGTTATTGATCATTGAGTAACTAATTGAGTTAGTTCCCGATGTCAAGGTCAAATCGAATGAAATTATAAGGGAAATTGATGTTGAAATTGAAAAAAAAATGTTTGGGTAAGTTTAGGGGTACTATTCGACCTAGGTAGAAATTTTAGGATTTATGACTTGATTTGTGTAATTCATGTGTAATTGAACTTCTTGGATGCCATTTAATATGTTTGGTACGTGTATGATGTATGAAATTTATAATATTGATGGTTATGAAGTTGTATTGTTTTATGTTGTATAATGGCGTTGTTATTTATGATGGTTTGGAATAATTTTTATTAAGGTAATGTTTATGGTGCATTTATATTGTTATATTATGCAATATTATGGCATAAATGCATCTATCTCATGGCATGCATTTCATAAAAGAATAACGACTATGCATTTTCCATAAAATGCATATGCATACCCAATTTTATAAAAAAAATGTTTTAAAGTCATGAAAATGTGTCTTTATGTCATGGTTTTCCAATAGCAATTGAAAATATTTTATGGAATGTGATTTTCATGGCTTTGAGGATTTTTACGAGGAGGAATTTAAGGGTTTTCCATACTTTTATTGTAAATGGTTCGGGGTCGAGCAAGTGCATACGTGCATTTTTAGAGGTTGGATAGGGTACATCTACAAACAGATTTGCTTCGCCGGACATACTATGGAAAATCCCGAAATACCTATGATAGGACATGTCTAAAAACAAAAAGGTATTTTCGGATTGATCATGAAAAGTATTTATGGCATAAAAAGGATTTGATATGAGCATGTAAAGGAAGTACATATGCATTTTCATTTACATGCATAACATGTATAAGTTAACTTATTAAGCTATTGCTCATATATTTTCTTATGGTGTAACTAATACAAGTACAAATGGTGATATTCACTTTTGAGTTGACCATTGAAGGAACTATTTGACACATGTATATTGGATGTGATTGAAAAATGGATCTAATACACACCTTGATTGTCTTAGTATTTGGTATATTGATTTACTTTTTAGCTATGTCTATATTTT